CCCCATCGTTTTCCTGACGGATGCTTCAGATTCTATGAAAACAGCCTTACTGTCTCTTCAGATGAACAAGAACCGAATCAATACTTCAATCACTAAATTTTTTGGTTAGTTCCTTCTCTGTTCGTAGTCTAAAGTAATCTTTTTCAGGTCGTGTAAATAAAGATGTAATTAAGGAGTTAGTTATTTTCTCCAACCGTTTCAAAAGTTTGGAGAAGCGTAGTAAAGCTACTGCTGTATATAGTGTATGCTTAATGTAACAAATTTTTTCTGATCTTCATTTTTTCAGATCATTTCTGGTAAACCAAGTGGCTTGACTGCCTGTGCTCCTGTTCTCGCTAGAATGAATCTAACTTTCAAGTGGCAGGAAGGAATAAAGGTTTTGACCAATCTTTTGTCGTTTATTCTCATTTTTCAGGATGATACTTTCTTAGTTCCTCCATCTCCTTCTGCTAGTGCTCTGCTACATGTATCTCCCGGATGGAAAGACGTCAGAGTCTCACTTTTCGAAAACAGCATTGAGTTAGAATTCATTCTGGTTGGTTAGACATGCTATAAGTAAATACGGTTCTTCATTTAAGTCTCTTGCAAAAGCTCTAACCGATAGCGTTAGCATGGTTTTCCCGAAATCGGAGAAAAAGCCTGAGGATATTTTCAAAAGTATCAATGACTTGATTGATAGTAGTCGAGGAATCCAAAGAGAAGCTGCAAGTCAGAGTAACAGGTTAGCTCTGAATCTATTCGGGCTTTATCTTATCAGTTGTATTTAGGTTCTTTGATTTCACCGAGCATCTTTGGGCGATCATCAAGCATTGTGATAGTTACGAGACTCTAGTTTCTGCTCTGAAATTAGTCTTCAACGCCCTCAAAGAGCTGAGAATCAACACCATAGTTAGAATTTTTTATACTTGATATACTTATCTCTTTTTTACATGTTCATCATGATAATAAGTCTACTATCGCTAGACTAGTCAGAGACTCTTTGTCCGGAGAACTCCTTCTTCCTCGTTTGGAAGCTTTAACTCCTATTCAACTTCTTCTGGAGATTGGTATAGAACGATTCCGCAGGTGTCAGAAGGTTGTTTTCCAATGTGATAGAATGATTTCTCAGAGATATGCTACACATGTTTGTAAAAGAATCCTTTGCTACTTCTGAGAAGGAGATTTCTGATTCCAAGATCCTAGACACGAATCCTGAGCAAAGAGCTTGTTCACTTCTGCCTATGCATTTGGCTCTTCAGACAATGCTAGAAGTGGGTTATAAGTGAGAGGACCAGATAACTTTTATTTTCCAGATAAAGAAAAACTTGCAGATAAACAGTCATCAAATAGTTAACATGACCAGGTAATTCTTAGTTTTCGTACAAATCGCTTCATTTCAACTTCAGAGTTGTTCTGCACCAATATTGTGCTTCTCCTATCACTGATATCTCCACTGTCTCTTTTGAAACTGATGTCTCATTCGTCGATATCAAACCAGAAATTATGGAAAAGTGAGTATTATATAAGAAATTCTTTCTGAGGTTGTTTCTTAAGTGTTCAACCCTTAACATGGACGAATGAAACGGCGTACATGCATAGAGTCCCGATAGCTACGACGGTCACCAATTTCACCCGTGAAAACAACTTCAACCATTTAGAAAGATATGTTTATACTAAAAACAAGGTTATTTTTGTCTCATATGCTCATAAATATAGTTTGTTTCAGTCACCTGAAGAAGAGAACGATCCTATGGAACAATATTTGTGCTCCCTTTCCACTTTCACTACTATACATGAAGATAACATTTTCTAGATCTAACTTCTCGAGTAATCCCGGTTTTTTCTCAGGGTTTTTGATCTTTTTACAATGAGTTTTATTAAATTCTAATTTCAATATGTCTGCTGTTGTTGAACTTTGGTCTGCGCCAACCTTTCTCTACCTTTAATCTCTTTGATTACTCTTGGTTTAATTCTTATTTAGATGAGTGAAAAAGGACGCTTAGTGAACGAGTTCGAATCTTACTTCTATGAGTTTTCCCCTCGTGGATTTACGGACGGAGGTTTGTTTGTTTGTTTCTCGATAACATCGGCTCTTTTTTCCAGTATACAATGCAATTATTGACAGCTGGAGCGAGTCTGTTGGAATTCACCTCGAAGATCCTCAATTGGCATCGGCAAGTTTCTTGCAGAAACAAGCGTGGCTGACCAATAGTTTTCAGCTAGTTGGCAACAAGAGTTTTCAATCTGGATTATTAGGATTCCTATTCAGATCGGAGTGTAAATTCAAAACTATTCTCAATAACTTCACGGTACTCTCTAAACCTGAGAACTTATCCAATTTATGTATGAGCTTCAGGATTACGCAATCCGGTATATCTTCCGTATTCCGACTTCTGTCACCCTACCTGAGCACAGGGAAGCTCATGTTCTGGCTATCGAACAAGAAAGGAAAGAGGAAATGTATGATGCTACAGCTGTTGAGAAAAAGTTGAAAGCAATGGAATACAAAATTATTGAGGTTTCGTTCATTACAATGACAAAAGCCTCACTCTGCATATTCAGATGAGATTCAAAATCGCAGAAATGAGAAGTTTGATAAACGAAGTTGATGACACTGCCAAAGTCATGGAAGCTATGGAGAATGCAGCTGAACAAAAGGAACTAGAGTATTCTCAAAACAGCACAATAATCGCTAGCCAATAAGCATTGTATCCTTATTTTCCTACTAATTCTCTTATTTACCTCACATGTATGTACCGATTTCCACCTGATAAATGTGTGTAACACAGTTCAATCTTGCTGTTATGTTGTCGAAGTTATTCGATTCTATATTTTATCAATTGCGTTCGTCTTGAAAATAGTTGAAATCAGATGAGTTCCGTCAAAATATTCGAGCTGCTTGAAGTATTGGACTCTTTGAAACATCTCAAACGTACTGGTTGGGTGAAGATGGGGGTTTGTTCGTATTTTCATACTCAATCGTTTTTGAGTTAAGGTTCCTGAACCTGAAACTGTGGCTTGTCATATGTACAGGATGGCTGTTCTCGCTATGTCCTTAGAGAAACAGATAGGTGAGACATTGAAATCAAACTTTGGTAATTTGTCACAACAGATATTGATATCTACCGGACAGTTCGAATGTGTCTTGTTCATGACATCGCGGAAGCCTTAGTCGGCGACATAACTCCGTATTGTGGTGTTTCCGAAGAGGACAAACATTCGATGGAACATGAAGTTTGATAGTCAATACTTCAAACACACAATTTCAAACTCTTGTTAGGGAATAAAGAAAATAGCTTCGTTTGTTCCTGCCATCGGAGAAGATTGGATGACCTTATGGATGGAATATGAAAAGCAAGAGACTTTCACGGCCAAGGTTGTCAAGCATTTGGATAAGTTCGACATGACTTCCCAAGCTCATACCTACGAGAAGAAATATGGTTTCTTGTTGTTAACAACTTAACTAAATATTTATTATATTGCAGGTATTGATCTTTCCCAGTTTTTCGAGACCACGAAAAACGTCTTCACAATCGAACCATTTGTTCAATGGGACAAAGAAATGCGAGAGTTAAGAGATAAGAAGTTGTAGAATGCCATGTTTGATCGAATAAAGTGAAGTTAGGTTATATTATGCTGCCAGTTATCATTCATGAAGGACTGACGAATTGTTCGAGTCTGATTCCCTCTCCGGCAGTTGGTCTGTTCATGATCTTTTTGACCAAATCTAAAAAAGAACAGAGTAAACTGAATAATATGTCGAGACACTTACCTTTTCCTTTGTTATGATCTTCCTGTCTGGCGAAGACAGTATCGAAAAGGTAGATGAAGAAGATGAATACGCGTAAGAAACGTTCAAGCATTCTGCAAAAAGTCAAAAATGGTAAGTGAGACTGCAATGAACCAGTGGACACAAATAGAATCAGAAGGAGGAGGGAAGACATAGACAGAAATAAAAAAAAAAGATAAATTGAGAAGAAGGAAAATCACAAGACATCTGTTTGAAAACACGAGTGAGTTCATTGATTGTATTTGGGAGTTTTACAGCGAATTTGCTGTGACCTTATTTGGCGCGAAAGGGAAACGTCTAAGGTTGCCTGGTAACACCAGAATTCCTGTACCTCACTAACACAACAAGTAAACACAGAAACCAACCTGTAAGTCCAATGAAGACGCGGGAAGAGATCGAGGAATGTCCGGCTAGACCTGCAAGCCAGGAGAAGATTGACTGGTTGGTTCCTGTGTGTAATCCTCTCACTCTTGTCTCTCTTCACTTTCCAAACTCTCTCCCATACCACATGAAAGTGGTCTGATAGACTGATAAGCACGTGAATCTATTATGCCGCCAATTCATCGTTTTTGTGTTCTTTGACTAAGAAATGTATTCCAGTATGATGTTTGAACAATCGGAAATCGATAAAAAAAACTTCATATTGTACAAGATCACAATCGGTAAGTACCCACAGTTAGTAGTTAAAGCTCATTTTTGAAAGACATATATGTCTATACAAGTAAATTTGACATTTTTGTCATTTAATAATCATTCGTTTGGTTTCTTCCCGAAGCAGGTGTTCTCTTCGATTTGCGTCCACGAAGTTCAGAAACTTTATCCTTTTTAGTCGTTACAGCACGGGTGGATCGGCGGAGGGTAGGGCGATGCAAAGATACTAAAAACAAGTATGTCAATTGTTGAGATCTCTCCGAATCGTATCAAGGAGATTACCGTCGTCTTCGCTAGTAGTTTCATCTGCCACAATATCCACTCGATCTGAGATGTCGCCCTGCAATAGTATTCAATTGATAGTCCTTCTCGTCAGGTCATTAATTAAAGATTGACTTCGATCACACGAACCCTGGACACATTCAATGATCTCGTGGAAGGAGAGTCAGTATTTGAGACGCCATCTTCATTATTGCAGTAGTCTTGCATAGGATCTTGTTGCATAAATCTTGGATCTGTAGCGATGTTTTTAAAAGGAAATTCGATAGGTACTCACTAAATACTAATGAAGATGGTCCGTTAGAGAATGATGAAGATTTTCTTCTGATTGGAACGACGTTCACACACTCATCGTTGTCTGTCTGGATCTGATATATTCTAGTGTCAAACATGTTACAGAATGTACCTCAACTTCAGAAGCCTCTTCGTTTCCTTTATAAAATGACGGCGGGTCCTAAAAACAAAAACAGATTAATATACTATATTAACATTCTTACCTGACTGAATAACAGAGGAGTCCAATCCATGACTGAAGAAATAAATAGAGCTATTTGTTTTCCAACTCTTCTCTCATATCGACTAATCATAGAACGTAAAACCTCAAGAAAGATGTGAAACAGAGCTCCGGAAATGAGACCTCACTTTGTCGTACATAAATTGAGCCCCAGATGTATATGGATTAACACACCATATGAGGAACATCGCCTTGATCATACCATAGAAGGGAATGAGATGAGATAAGAAAAAAAGTTCCAGGAAAAACGTTATGACATGGAAAACAGCATAGACAACCCAATACTTGAGCCAATGGACCTTAAGTAATCACCGTCGTTAAGCTAATTGATCGAAAGCATACCAAACTGTTTTTTGTTCCTCGCTTTATAGCTTTATAAGAATAAAACAAGGGAATGAACCCTCCCATTAACCCCTCTATCAATCCGGAAATCATTTCTAACAAAATTAAAACACTCCTTGTTATGAGTACACTTGAGCCACTATTCAAACTGTAATAACTCCGGCCGCAGACTGTTAAAGGGCGGGGCCTTTTCAAATCTCGCGCGGATGTCGCGGTTTTGTCGACTGTCCAAAGGTTTCCTCCGTAATCTAATGAATTTCATTACATACATGATGATTACAATATGAACTATTATAAGTTCCGTTTCTACACTATATGCAGATCTGTGCGGGACCCATGCAAACCAGCCCTTTAAACTGGCTTCTTGCTTTGGAATGTATGTTATTTTTTTTACAAAAAATAAATTTAATTTTAAACGTTGTGATTGTAGTATATGCCATCCGTACTTATAATTATAACTAATGGTATCAGCTTCTTGTTTTTATTTTGAGTTTCTCACATATTTATTAGGTTATATCATGGGTAGTGAGTGACATAAATCGAAACGAAGTTAAAAGCATTTCAAACATACTTCACGTTGCTTCAAAAATTGGAGATTGTATTATTGAGAGAACTTTTTTTTTTTTTAGTGAGCTTGAAAGGCCTCATCGTTGATACTTTTTTTTAGAATCAATTTTAAGTTTCTTTTGGTCACTTTGTTTTTGTTGAAGAACTAGTAAAGTATATTTATCGGGAGGGTGATTTTTCAAGCGGTTAAATATTACCAGGCAAGACTTCGAGACGTTTTCAACTTTTGCCAAAAGTTTTTGAGTCTTCCTGGCTTCTTTTGCTTTTGCATTTCGCGCCAAAGTTGCTTCATATTAAAGGTCTGTCGGAATGTGTCTTGACACGGCCAACGATTGGCTGTACGCCAACGTTTGACGTCAGCGATGGAAGGACGTTACGTGATACGAAAATAATATGACGACGGGATTACTATACGATGTTGCTCATATCTTTATCGTAATCTATTTATCGAAGACTCCTAGCATGGTCAGGTATCCCTTATTCAGTAATACGAAGTCGTTTTCTTTTTTGGTTGATTGCTAGAGGAAAATGAATTGTCCTTTTGTAATAATACTACCTTTGTTTCTTATCTCTTTCGTTTCTGTGTTATATGGCATGAGATGGCTTGGTTTTAAGCTTTATTTTATTTCTGTTCTATTCATTCATTTTTTTTCGATTCCGCTTTTTTCTTTTTCATCTAACATTCTCTTCATTCTATGTCATCACCTGCATTATCTTTTACTACTACTCCCCCCTTTTTTGATACTTTTTTGTTTACGTCTTATCATGTTAAAGTCCTCATAACCAAAAAACTAGCTTGATGCTGTCTAAGATATTTGGTTTACTTAATCAATGTTTCGCAAGCGAAGCTAACTTAGAATAGTTTAGTTTTTAGGATTTCGCTGCTAAAATAAACTGCGAAGGCGAAGAAGCCAACTTTAACTTCCAAGCTATTTGCAAGTTGGTGTTGTCATGAAACATGGATTGTTGACTCGTCCTTCTCCAGGAAATTTAGAGAAGAATTAGTCAATTATTCTTTTATTTTAGCTCCTATAACTCTTTTTAATATTCAATGTTTGTCGGCAGTCCTCGCTATTTCATAAAAATACTAAGGGCTGTGGTTGATTTCATAAATTGTATGCAACGGTATGAATCATTCAGCGTCCCGAAACTTCGAACTCTGGTTATACTTCCATTTTGATGCTAGCAAATCGAACGCGATTTCTAGATTTGAAAGACCTGAAGATTCTGATATGTTCAGCCTGCTTCTTCTGCGCTGAGAACGTATAGCATGAAGAAAAGAGTGTTCTGGGCTCATAAAAGATTCGGAATGCTAGGTGAAACTTAAAAATATCCCTATTTTCCTTTCATTTCCCCTCGGAAAGTAATCTCCTTATATGTATGAGTGAGTTATGTTCAACATTTATTCGTAGTGAGAGGAAGTTTTGAAGTGTCTTTCGTGTTTTTCCGGATTCCGCTACATTTTGATAAAATCCTAATAGTTTGCAGTTCCAATGATCAGTGTGAATAGCTTTTTCTATAGAACCACGTTTTGTAAGTTTCTGGAGAATGTTCCTGAAGGGATATGAGGTCATCGACTACTCCCGAAGTGAGGCAGGTAGAGGAATGTATCCTGAAATGTAAAAATCTGTTCTATACTCTGTTATTTTTGGATTTATGGAAGGGGAGTTGGCTTGTTCCATGTTTTCACTTGGGTTAAGCGTATACCCTGTGTCTTACTTCTGTGGCATTCTCGTATGTAAAGTTGCCGCGGATAAGATTTGATAGTGGACTGTAAGTGGACTATGAACTTGTATCCGCTTCATGGTTAAAAATTTTATGAAAAATAGCCGAAAAAATGGTCGAAAAAGTCGACTTCAGCTTCACTTAAGCTGAAACCTACTATTTTCTAATTCTGCGATTTTTCCGGCAACTTTACTCGTGGGTCGCGCGTACGGTTAAATGCGCGGAGCATGCGGGTGAGAACTATGAGAGACCAGAATCGAAAAATCAGTCAAAATATTTCGAATAGGTTTAGTAAGGGTTGTAGTGGGTGGGACTCAAATCAATTCAACCACCTAATATTTCCACTGTAGAGGACGTGTGTCGCAACCTAATGTTGCGCCATATCGATCGTGCGTGTTTTGTGGCCGCTTCGCCTATTTTCGGCGCCACATTTATTTGAACAAAAAAATGCTTTTTTTTAATTCTTCGAACTCTTTCTCTTTATGATTTTTTTGTTTTCTTGTTATTAATGATTCATATTCAATTTCAGCTAGTTTTTCCTAGCCTTTCGGATCCTCACCTCCTGTTTGACAACCGTGCAGAGTTATGGCTCAGGAAGGGGATCTTAATGTGGATAATCTTATAACGCGCCTCCTAGAGGGTAAGTTCAGCTTTCTTTTAATTTCTAATCCTTCTTGCTTTATTGTTTTTTTGCTTTCTATTTCTTTGTCTCCTTTCAGTGCGAGGTTGTCGTCCTGGGAAAACCGTCACCATGACAGAAACTGAAATTCGCGCTCTTTGTCATAAATCGCGAGAAATTTTCCTTTCACAGCCAATTCTCTTGGAGTTAGAAGCACCACTGAAGATTTGCGGTACAATATATCTCATTATCTCGAATTAAACTGATATTTATTAAAGGTGACATTCATGGGCAATACAACGATTTGCTCCGCTTGTTTGAGTACGGCGGGTTCCCTCCCGAGGCAAACTATTTATTCTTGGGAGATTATGTAGATAGAGGAAAGCAGAGTTTAGAAGTTTGTTTTATTTTTTAATTTTCTCGTTTATCTCTATTTTCACGACCTCAATTTGCTCTTTCAGACAATTTGTCTGCTTCTTGCTTACAAAGTAAAATATCCAGAAAACTTTTTCCTTTTACGTGGAAATCATGAATGTGCATCAATTAACAGAATCTATGGATTTTATGACGAATGTATGTGTCTTATCTACTGCTTCCTTTAGTCAATTTGATGTGTTTTAGGCAAGAGACGTTTCTCTATCAAGCTTTGGAAAACTTTTACCGACTGCTTTAATTGTCTACCCATCGCTGCTCTTATTGATGAGAAAATTTTCTGTTGTCACGGAGGTAATTAGAAATCTTCTCTGCCCTTCTAATAGTTTCCTTTAGGTTTATCTCCTGATTTGCAAAACATGGAACAAATTAGAAGAGTAATGAGACCAACAGATGTTCCAGACACGGGTAAGTCCTTCTTCACTCTCAGCTTCCGGTTTTTGCTAATGATCACACTTAAGGTTTGCTCTGTGATCTATTGTGGTCAGACCCTGATAAGGATGTATCTGGATGGGGAGAAAATGATCGCGGAGTGTCGTTCACATTCGGTCCCGACGTTGTAGCGAAGTTCTTAAACAGGCACGATCTTGATTTGATATGTCGTGCTCATCAGGTAAACCTTGAAGTAGCGTGCTCATTTTGTAAACACGAATGTTTAAGGTAGTGGAAGATGGATATGAGTTCTTTGCTAAAAGACAGTTAGTAACTTTATTCTCAGCTCCAAATTATTGTGGAGAATTCGATAATGCTGGAGGAATGATGAGCGTAGATGAAACTTTGATGTGCTCTTTCCAAGTATGCCCTCTTTTCTTCATCATCACTTCTCATCGTTTCATTGCAGATCTTAAAACCATCAGAAAAGAAAGCCAAATACCAATATGCCGGATTGAACAGTGGACGTCCTAGTGCTGCCAATACTCGTGGCATTGGGGCTAAGAAGTAAAAACTGCCCTTGTATTGCTCTTATATAGCTCTCGTTGGCTTCAGCTGACGTCAGTGTTAAAAATTCATCTGCATTACGACTTACGACATTTTATGTTTGGCTAATTTTGGCAGTAAGTAGGGACTCTCTTTGGCTTTTTACCCTAAAAGCAAGTATTTATTGTTTAAACCATTTATATGGCTCTTAAGAAACTTGGTGTCAAATTCTTAGGCCTGTAATGAGAGTAGAGCCCTCACGATATATTTGTTCGAAAATTGTCAAACTGTAAATTTATGAACGTTCTATACCTACTAGATAATTTTTGTTTTGAGTTTGTTATATGATAGCTTTCGCTATCTTGCTTAACTTTCAGAAAAGAAATGTAATGATTCGAACCAATAAGTGTATTCTTACAACTCAACTGATTTTAAAGCCTTCACGATTAACTTGTCTCAATAATTATTTCTTTCAACAAAACGCTCTTGTTCCTTGCATCTTGAGTTGTGAACTAGTGCGTTGTCGCTCTGATAAGAGAGACATATGTCCCGCAAGCTGGTGGCAGGGACAGCTTTCCTCTTCAAAAATCTCTTAACTGCTACGTATTTTCTATGGATGTCCAGTTAGTAAAAGGAGAAATGGACGAACTTATTAGGCTTCGAAAAGAAATTCAAAGAAAAAAGGCCGGAATGAGCTTGGGTTCCCTCAAGTTTCCTGGCTTTTCGTCTTTTCAGGAAAAATTCAGTAGGTGGCTGAATAGATCGAAAAGTTGATTGAAATCAAATGAAATTAGGAAGAGGTGTGTAGGTGGGATGTTCTACAAATCTGTTCGGGAAAACATTAAATGTGAAAGGAATTTGTCATAGCGAGGGAATTCCAAGAATGGATTGAATTAAGATAGTCATGCATTCTTGGATTTTCATCCCCACTAGTGAGTTTCCTTGTTTTGACTTGAAAATGAGTTTTCAAGGATATTAATAATGACATTTAGTCTTCTATATGCCCCCAAGGATCTAAAAAGGTTTATTTGCTTCCGAAAGTTTTCTTGCTTGATTAGTTTTGCGCCTACACATAATATATAGATAGAGATATATATATGTGTGTATGTATGTGTGTGTGTATTTATCCGAAGATATAGCTTTTCTTTTTCTTTGCTTTCATTTCACAGAATCTATTACTTTTACATTTCCAAACATAGTATTAACGCCTCAGAGTTGTCGCAATTCTATTAGCGCGATCATCCTACTTCAGACCTCATCTATGATTTGACGAAAGCCGCGACCCTAAATTTCCAATCTCTTCTTTTCCGACTTCTTCAACCCGATATCGTCATCTTAAACGATATGCTGCTTGAGCTTTCAAATGATGCAAAAGTTCTGCTACTGCAGATGGGTTGAGCTTTCTATAAGTAGCCTGAACACGGCTAACGGAAGTGGAACAACTAACACGGCGGACAAGCTGTTTCTGCTCATCACAGCGTGTGTTTCAGAAGATTTGGGAAAGGAAATTTATTTGAAAAAAAAAATGTTCTCAAGGGGCGCACACGGATGGATGAAGAAAGTCAAAAAAAGCGAAACAGAAAGAAAAGGAGTTGCATTGTTTTCTTTTGACTGGCGACAATGCGAAAACAACAGAAATGTCAGAAACTTTCGCTACGTGCTCTCCCTCCCAAAAGAAGGGTGCTTATCTCTCTTTCTCTCTCTCTCTCCCTCTCTCGTCTCTTTATCTTTCTCTCTCTCTCTCTCTCTCAACATTCAGCTCTCACGCTCTTCTTGCAGTCCCTCGTTCTTATTCATTCCGATTCGTGTATGATGTTTTTGATATAAGTGTAAACAAATATAACTTCGTTTGATGATTTTCAAAAGATTATTTTTCAGATTTCACATAGTCCACTAGAGTGATTGCAATGATTTCTTCAACTGATGGAGCATTCAGTTCAAATAATTGTTGTGATCGCAAAAAAACGGGAGGGAAAAGATAGGATTTTGAGATATTGAACAGTCCTGCTCAAATAATTGGATGAATTTAACAAAGAACGGAAATAATATTTTTCTTCAACAGTAACGGAAGTTACAACTGTTTTGTTTTCTGTTTAATTATATGTGATATCGGTTTTATTTTTTTATTTGGTAAGCACGTGAGTCATGAAGAACAGTACGTATGAATGAAGTTGAGCAAATAGATGGATATGGGCGGAATATATATCCATTTTTGGCTAAACCGAATAAAAAATTGAAGATTTTTTGTAGATGGAGAGGTTTAGAGACAAAAAGAGAATATGAGAGAATGGGGAGGAGATACACGGTTCTGCACGTGGACGCAAGACACAAAAGCATTTCGAGCTATTCATTGAAATTCATTCGAAATGGATTTCATATTGACCTCACATGTTTAGTTCATATTCGAAATTCCAATGGATGAGTCTACACTAAGCTCGATCAATTATAGAGTTTGAACTAATTTTCTTCTTAATCTCCTCTTAACTTTTTGAATTTTCGCGGTATTTGTCATTTCTTATTCAAATTCCATAGCATGCATGGTTACAGTTGAACGGTTGCATGAGTACGTGGCTTGTTCAATCCACGTGTATCACATCTATTCAATCTCAATTCATTTTTGATATGTCAGATGTGTGGAGCGGTTGCTTGACTTATTTTTTTTCTTTTTTTTTTCGATGTTTCACCAAAGAATCGTTCTTCTAGTTTGTATAACTGTTGTGAAAAAGAGTGTGACTATAAAACCGGCAATCAACAACTACTTCTACGTGACTGATGAAATAGTGATAGTGGTTTATATATAACATATCCATCATCACAAACTATGTAATAGTTTATTTAATCTCTTTCATTAATTAATACGTAGAAAAAGGACTGACGAGGGGGATTAATTATAAAATCCGAATCAATAGGATAAAGGAAAAGTATTTTTTTGCTCATAAACTAATGTAATCCACACACACAAAAAAAAAGTATCAAGATTTTGGTTTATAAGCAGCGTTTTATGGCATAAGCTATCATATAAGGATTATGCATCCAATCTGTTAGTACGTAATGATTTCATTGTTGTATTCGCATTTACCACACACACGCACATACACAAAAATGATTTTTAGAATAATATTTCAAATACAATTGTACTTTATGTTTGCTATATACGTTATATAGTATATATATAAATGTTTTTGTATGAAAAATTGCATGTTAATTGATGCCAAATGAAGCACTTTCAAACTTTTTTTTTGTTGTCTGCGCAAAATAGATTTCTGTCATTGGGTTAGGCTCTTCGTCTGCTCTTCTTCCTCTTCCTCTATCTAACATCTCACACTCGATCTGATTCAGTAGCGGAGCGTCCTTTTTCAATTCAAATTTGGGATTTTTTTGAAAAAGTGTCAAGAAGTGCAAATAGTTGTTGATTATATCATGGTGGTTTTTGTTTGAATGGAGAAAAAAAAAGCGTTATTGAATCATAGGAAATAGCGGAAATTCCATGAAGCAGTGTTCATGTCCATATTTTTATTTTTAAAATATCGAAGAGAAATGTACAGCTGATGAGGCTTTCTTCTTCTGTTTTCCAACTCATTTCCTCTCGTTTTAGATTGTCACTTTCTTTTTATTTATCAATCATTGTGTGAAGAATAGCATAGAAGAGAATGGGGAATCAGTTAAAGAAAAAAAAATAAGAAAAAAAACTAATCATTTATACAAATAAAGTCTAAAACAATCAGCTGACGAATCTATTCTACTTCCCTCTTCGCTATACTCTCTCATTGTCTCTGTTTCATGGCTTTGAAGTTTGGCTTCATATTCCTTTCCTGGAACAAAGCTTACAACTTCCAACCCTGATACCGTTCATGTGCTCTTCCGCATTTCTCGCTCTCCTTCTCTCTTTTCCTTTTTTTTTATTTTATTATTTTTAAACGCAATATTGTCGGAATTATTTCAACGAAACATGAATCGTAAATCGAGCTATTTCTATTTTTGCTTTCTCTTCAAATGAATATTTCATAATTTGAGTTGAATTGCAAATTCTTTATCTTTTTATCAGGACTGATTGTCTTTTTTTTGGCGGGTCAGCTGAGCAGCTGCTTCCAGTCTCCAACATCTTTCAGCAGCTTTAATCTTCTTTTGCTTCCTTCTTCCTATTAATTTTTGTTTTCCTGGGGGTCTCAAAAATGAAAACTGTTTGCATATATTCTGAGTTGGGATGGGGAGGGACGGGTACGTACACACACACACACACACATACACACGCACACACAAGTTCCTTAAGGAATTCAGGGTAATATGAGGCGGTGCATCCAGCTCCGAACAATTGATAACTGGGATTTGTGAAAATAAAGTTTGAAATAAACAATCTAAATCAATCTTCACCCAAGTCCATCCATCTAAAACTTTTCGTCTTCCTCTGTGTCTCTGATACTCTCCCATAAATAGCTTATTCTGTCAATCTTATAAATGAGTTTATCATATTTTCAAATATTCAATTTGGCTATAAAGATATTTCAAGAATTTTCAGCTTTTCATCATTTTCTTTATGAATCAAGAAAATTGAAATAAAGACATTCGAACGATGAAATAAATGACAAAAAAAATTAGATTGAATGGCTCATAATGAAAGTTCGCATATGCAATCCATCACTGTGTTAGCATTATTCACTTCCATCATATCTACATTTCCATTTATAACCTTTTTTGCTCATTCTTTTTCCTTCCTCTCTCCCAACTGGCAGAGGGTGGGTATACTGTTGGATTCAGCAAAACTCTTTTTGTGTTTGCCGCATTCTCTTTCATTTTCTCCGAGTAAGTTTACTTGTTAAGAGATGTAGAAGAGCTGATGAGAAGAAAAAAAACATAAAAAGAGGTAAGAGGTTAACAATGCGTGACGTCATTGATGTGTGAAGGATTGATTATTGACTCGATTTTTTTCATTCCTCAACCCGACTGATCGAGCCTTTCTTCTTTTCTCTCTTTTGTACGGCTTTTCTTTTGCCTCTCTTTTTATTCCCATATTTGTGTCTTTGTCTTTTCTTCATGTTTTCCATTTATTATTCCTTACGTGTTCCCAAAAAAAAA